ATATAATATTGTATATATTATAGACCCAATTATAAAAATATGGCTTCTATTGCTTTTAATCTATGTTCGGTAAGACTGTTATCATTATTAATTTTCATAATTTTTTTCCTAAATCCAGTTRGTACTATTTCTAGCATATTATTGCTCTTTGCAGGTTATAACATTCCCGCCTTGGTCTCATTGATCCCCGCACGTACACTTCCATGATATCTTGTGTATTACTATAATCCACTACAGGCAGTAATCTTTCTGTCTCAACCTCGTTGATCCTCTAACCCTTAAACATTTGATATATTTTGTATGTCTATGTTCCTATACATATTTTGTTAATATATTAGCAAAGTAACTGTTATATATTTATATGTATATATATATTATACGCTTTCTACTACTAATATTAGGTATACTTTACAGTTTTAAAGTTTTAAAGTTATATTATATTCCCGTTAAATCCAATTGTCTTCGTATTCAACTATAATTTCACTGAATTTCGTTTATTCCAATATAAATACATTGTAAGCAATGGTTTTATATCATTGAATTAAATACATGTACATTGCACTCATTGCAGTAACCCCTTTTATAGGTATCTATTGACTATTATACAGCAGAGAAGTTCACACTTTTTTAACATAATTCAGTGGAAGTATATACAAGAAAAAAATTGTGTATGATAAAAATGGTTTTAAATAACTTAAAGTAATACATTAACCATTAATCAACTTTATTGTGATAAATGCATTGAATTATGGCAAAAAATCATTTGTTCATACTCGATTGTAATGTATTTTACATTTATTTTATTCGAGTCTTACTTAAATGTGCATACGAGTTATTTTTCTCACAAAAGTAGGTAGATAGATACTATATAATATATAATACAAATATTATTTTATCTAAAAATTCTTTCTTTGTAATGAATTCATATCGTTTTGCACAAACCAATAATATCTAATGTTTTCAGACAATAATAAGTGCATCTGTTATCTTTTACGGAACAATTAACATCAAAGTATAAATTCTGCTACATGTTCCGCAACAATTGTTCCTTTTGTAGTTTAACGACTTGAAACTAAAACAGGACAAAACCCTATCCATATTTTCATCATTACATGATWGACATTTTGCGAGGGTATGCATTGTACAATTTAACCATTTCAAACTTTAATTTTAATATCGTTATRGTTTAATATTGTCACCATGTTATCTAAAAAAATATTCATGTATTTTTTTAATTAAAAAATATGATATTTTAATATCTCTGCTTTTTAATTCTCCCCCGAATAATCTATAGTTAATTTTAATTCTGCCCTGTATCATCAACTTTTAATTATCAAATACATTTTAGATTGCTTAGGCTGCAGCTTAAATTTTTAGGTTAAACTCGTAAAACGTAAACACGTTGATTGATTTAGTGATAATTTTTTTTAATAAATTGCTATTTGATTAATATTAAAGTAAGGATTTTAAAAGTTTAATTATTTTATAGTAGGTATACGTATTATTGTTTTATTGTATCTAAAACTTACTTTTTATATTTACTACGCTATTTAACTGGTGTCGGTTTTTTTTAAGAATTTAACATAATAACTTACTTAAATCATTATGATAAAAATGTTGTGCAAAATTTATTTTATTTTTGTAGCAGACAGGAACCCTCGAGTGTCGTAGATAATAATTATTATTTTGGTAAAACGTAAATAGTGTTTTCATAAATGTATTATATTATATGCATATGCCTAATTTATATGACCTTTGATACTTGTTTCTTGTTTCATCGCTGGTGAATTATATTTTCGTACACGTGTACGTGACCTACCTATGTACAAAGTTGTGGCGCTTAATTAAGTCTATTATACTTAAATAAGGTAATAATGACGCAAAACATTTGATTCGACAGTGRTAGATACATATAGTTGACAGGGAGGAAAAATGAAAAAAAAAATTTTGACGGTCGTTATTAAATTTGTAATTTATTGTTTTCTTTTACCGTTCCTATATGTTTATAATATATAATATGTATTATATAAAATGTTATTGTACGTGCTAAAGCTGCAGTGGGTCAGACTGTCTGATGCCCCGCCCATARTATAAATATAGTAGTAACTTCAAAAGTAATTTACCGGGTTGTTGGAGAAATGAAATTTAACGTTGACAGCAAAAGGTGTCGGTAAATAATATTGTTGGGCACTTACTGCGGTAGACGCTCGGGTATTATATTTCCGATTACAATTTTTTACTTCTCATAATATTATAATACAAAACGCGTATCGCTCTGCAGACTCGCTCCACCCCGCCTCGATCTACCAGTTTTTAATTCCGGCGGCTCTGTGCTTGATTTATTTCTGCAGAACCACGTAAAGGAGGGTTCATTCCGTTCGCGTAATTTCGTTTTTGGAAACGAAGGACACACGAACAYACACCATAATGCTCAATATTATTATGCTCTCGAGTAGCAGACGATTAAAATTTATTAGCGGACCTATATTCGGACGTCGCAAGCTCATAACCGGGAGAAACTTTATCGCGAGGTATATTGGCGTATTGCACAATGTCTATGCGTACATAATATACGCATATTGTTTTATTTTACGCTAATGCAGCAATAAATATATTTAGTGTCCGGGGACCCCGCCTTGAAGATGGGCATTTGCGACGGCTGCAGCAGTGACCCGAAAGGCCATTATTTAGGTATTATATTATATCGTGAGTTCTGATCGTTACGAAAACAGCTGACGGGTTGAAAGCGTAAATTTATAATATTTTTTGTATAATTTCTTGTACAACATTATTTTATAATAAACGTGTACCTGCACGAGCTGCAGTATATAATTCGATGGTTAAGCACACACGCCTGTCAAGTACGTAATATTTATGAATTTTTCAAGAACCTCGTTTACATTGTATGAGAATGCAGAGGTGATATAAACACATTCTTATATTATACAAGAATCTACTGACGGTTTGACCTTATCCATTTTAGCTCACTTGATTTATTGGTCTATGCTCTTTTGAATCAGACCTCCTGAATACAATTATAAAATTGGCAGAAGTGTAGACCGACTTATACGGTGAGGGAGAAATGATCTCCGAAATAAAAAATAATCAACCAATTTCAGCGCGTCTTCCACCAACATCAAATGATTATTCTAAATTATTTAAAAATGTTATACAAAATGAACAGATTAAAATTTGGATTCATACATATAAAGATATAATTTCACTAAATTCGCCTATAAATTTAATTAACTTGAATTTTTGTTTTTTTAACTTTTTTCGAGTTTAATTTTTTTATAGTATCTTTAAATATATTTGAATCATTTAGTTTTAGTGGCAAATGCGCTAGGTGGCTAGGTAAACAGTCAATTGGTCCCCGGACAATTTGTCCCCGCATAAAAATGCCGTATACGGACAATCGGTCCGCGTCATAATTTTATACATGGACAATTGGTCCCCGGTCAATATTTTTTGAATACCTAGGTATACGAGTAGGTATAATTATTCTATCTCAGGCAGCATTTTGTAATGATTAGGGCTCGATATAAATGCCTTTTTAAAAAATGCATTATTTATTAAATAAATTCAAATTATTATTAAAAAATGAAACTATATTTGTATTATTTTGGAATTTAAATGATCGACGGGTGTCTTAAAGATACCTTTCAGCCACATATTATATGATGTGATTATTCTTTTCTTTTAAAATTTAAACATTTTGACAACAAATTAAATGAAGGTGACCTGAACTCTCCCATSATATTTAAGTATTTAATTTTTTTTTGTAAAATATTTTGTATTTAACTTTTAAGCCGGAGACCAATTGTCCGTGTATAAATTATGACGGGGGCCAATTGTCTGCATACTGCATTTTTTCGCGGGGACCTAAATTCATGCGCTAAAATCGGTTGATTTTTTTAATTTCAGAGACTCCATCCCTCCGCGAGTCGATTTACTATTCTGCTGGTTTTTTGAAATTATATTCTGGAGGACCGATTCTATAGATCTTAAAAAATTCTAGTGAACTAAAATGGGTAAGGTCAATAGTGCCTAAACTATATTATATACCTTCTCAAAAAAATTTAATATCAAAATATATTATTTTTAAATAGTTGAAATTCTTGTGAATCAATTACAATAAAATAAAATTACTTGCGTGAACTTAACCATTGTTTGTAGGTTGTGTTGGTGTGCATTAATCTGTGAGCATTAACTGACTACACACTTTCAGTTAACCTAAGCTTGTGTATATTTTTATATTATTATTCTTTCAATAACTATGACCGTAACCGTTTCGCAGGAGTACCTGATGCCAGATGTTCGCGATCGCCAATATCTGATCACCATGCACAAGAAGGCCAGAAAGTCCGGATTGGACTTACACACGTACAATCTGCTCAAGGACAAAATGGCGAGCGTGCAAACTGATCTGGCCCGTCTTAAAGACCCACTTATCCCGCCACACAGAGCCCAAGTCCTGTACGATCCGTTGGCTGACAGTAACTCTACGGGAATGGAACCCACGGGACTGTGGTCCGGACTCCGAGCCCGGATCAAGTCATTGATGGATGAGACCAAAGGCAGAAGCGGCAAACAAACAACCAGTAGCAGCATTTAAGAACACGCACAGTATTTTGAATAATAAATAATAATTTTAGATTTATGTCTTCTTTTTACGATAAGTTTTTCATTTTTTTTTCGTTTTAAACTTATTCGTTTACGTCGTATAAAAGTTGGTGCTAAACATATATTGCCGGTTTTCTGCTCGCTTTCATTTTTCATATTTCTTAAATATTTCTTAGATGACTTAATCTCTACACAGGGTTAGAGTATTATAACTTCACGCACACAAAAAATATCAATATACGAGTACTTTATAGGATAATATAAGAAGTATATAGGTTATATCGGCTCTTTGCAATATAAAATCTACATTCTGCATTATATAGTATCTGTACGCTTTTTTTTGAGACTTTTCTATACTTAAAAATGAAAAAAAATGTCTAAACACGCAATAGGTTTAGCTATTTCATTGGTATTCGATTTTTTTTTTTTGATAATAATTATTATAAATATATATTTACTACATTTTTTTATGTCCTTATATATATATATATTATATTATTATTGTTATTATTATTATTATCATAAAGAACGAGAACGAAAATCTCGTACCTCACCACACCGGCTCTCGTGGAATCGTCTCTACGTCACACACACACACACACACACACACACACAAGCACTTGTTGATTGATTGATCAAGAACAATCATTATCGTTTTTTTTCATTTTTTTTCATTTTGGGTTAGGATCAGGGTCGTTTTAATAAATATATATATATATATATATATATGTTGATAAATAATGTTATGATAATATTATAATAATTAATACATTTACGCGTCGATGGTGAATCGTATTGTATATTCGTCGTCGCTGGATTTGGTTAACGGAAATTGAGTGCTCATATATATTAATATATAATATTATATAACGGCAATGTGCATAAGAAGTAACATAACAATCCTTGTTTGTTTTAATGTTGTTTTAACGGAGCCAATATTCTATTTTAAATGAATAAGATGTATAATTATTACTCTTTTTTAAGATTCGCCATGCAGCTTTTTATTTCGATTAAAGCTCAATGTAATTAGTGTTAACTATTTTTAAATTTATCTCTTTTTCTCGCTCTTTATTATCCCACTATTCGTATAGTATTTAAAACATAATAACTTTTATAATTGTCTTTAATGATCTTCAACGCCATCATATTATAATATATATTATTTATATAAGGTAGCGTGTAAGTACAAAAATACTGTAACTCATGTATAGTCGAATCGTTATATAATCATCGATTTTTTTTTTTTATCGAAAACGTCATCGTGCGATATTTAGGTCTTAGTATTATAGTCGTGCCTCGTGCGATATTTAGGTCTCAAAACCATTTTTTTTTCAAATCTATTTAAAATTTATTCATATTGTATTATCATTATTTTTTTTTTTATTTTTTTTTCTATTTATTATACCTATTACCTATTGTACGATTATTTCTCTTAAATAATTATCATTTACGTTTAAGTGAAGGTATTAACTACATCCTTAAAGTAGGTACTATATACATTGTACAAAACGGCATTGTTATAATATTCATTTTTACTTTAGTAATTTGACTAATACCTAAGTTTATATGATTTGTTTTTATTTAATATTAAGTATTCCCTAAAAATCATTAGTATTAAGATTATTGTACCAATAAGAAATTAATTTAATCAAATTTGTGATGTTCAATTGTATTTTATTGTTTACATTTTTAATTTCAATATTATGTACTTTAACAAAAAGTATTAATTTAAGTTGGCTTGTTAATCAAATGTTGAGAGGACGTTTCTCGTTTAAACAAATTTAATATATCATGTACCTATRTAATAGCTATTTATTATAAGTAGGTAGAAAATAATTTTTTTAATATTTAATAAAAATATACTTTGGGTATATTATACAAGTTTTATGTACAATATTATATTATATCAAAGATATTGAGTAAGTATGTTGTTTCTTGGAAAACTGCATATTATTGTAAACAATTATTTTAAAAATGTAATTACTTGTTATTAAATTAAATAATATCATACGTACGTATATACTGCTATTATAGGTACATGGTATCAAAATATTTTTTTTGAATCTTCTACTTTTAAAGTTTATTTCAAGACTCGAAAAAATATTCGTTACAATTATTATGTACATTATACCAGTAGGATAATATTAAGAGTCGCGCATGGACAACCTCTTGACGCTATTGAATACCTAACCTATATATATTAGTAAAAACTAAAATGTTTGTTTATGTTTGATGGGTGCATAATAATTGAATTCGATTATAATTGTTAAATATATGTTATGCAATAACACATCCAAATATGAATATATTTTGGATGCGTTTTTGAAACATACTGTTGTTACATTCATGTGTTGTACAAGATTAATTATTATTGTTTTAACATTTTCGTATATACGTACTAACGTGTACCAACATTTTCTCGTTTATCATTATTTTTAATAGCTAATCCCTTTTTAATAATTTAATGTATTAAACATTTTTATTGTGATGTTTATGTGTTTTTTCATTATTTTTGCTAAACAAACTGCACTCAGTCGCGTGAGTATATAAGTAAGATTCAGTGTAAATGCCTTTGAGAAACGCCCYACGTTATCGCGAAATATCAATCTATTAATCGCAATGTGATTGACGTTGCAATCCTTCGAGGAAGAAGGGTTGAAATTTCAGAAAGTTTGACTTTTCAACCACCAGACTGAAATCGCCCGTAAATCAATACATATTTATTTTAATTCAAATCCATGTGATTTTACATTTGTGAAGCCATTACAATATCCCATATAATAAATTAATAAAATTAACGATTTAAAATTAAATCACCCGGATATGCGTGACACTGATGGGCGATGGATGATGGATAGATAATGTATTTAAAGTATTATACTCTATTAATTTATATATTATGTTGATAGTTGCGTTCATTTGCCATACTGAACATATTATACCACAACGCCATTTTGGTTGTATTTCAACCAAGTCGAAAAAAAATCGAAATTTTCCTGCTATAACATATGACGTATATATAGCTGTACCTTCCATGAGTCCTTACCATCGTTTGTACGGCGAAGTGTAGYTGATGATCGACCAATGGCAGGTCGAGTTAAGAATAAAGAAAAATACTTACTGTAGGTATAATATATTATTATGTAATTGTCCTCACTCGTTTTTGTTGAATAAAAYACCATTCAGCAAAAACCAACTTCAAAATTCAATTACCATTGTTATCGTACAGTTTAAAACGACAAACACTCGGTTAAACTACAAAATAATAAAATAAATTACAGTATACACCCGCGAGTTCATGCGAYGCCATGTKATAAATAACGTACCATTTTACAGGTAGGWTGTGATGAGTCTTCTCGGAGAGCCGAGAGGGTTGTTCGCAAAGAAAAGCAATACAATTTCCAAAGAGAGTTTCTTTCAGGCGTATTTGTTTTAAACGCTGTTGTACTATTATTAACTTTCTCGGTTATAGCCATAAATGTGTCCAGGGACGAGTGACGATTCACCGCGGATGAACCACGASGCGGAAAAACTTCGTTCAAGTCGAATCGGAGCATCACTATAAAATATTATATTATAATATATTCAATCTATATTTCGGCCGGCCATTCAATTATTATTATTATTATTATTATTATAGTTTACTACCTAGCTATAGACGGCGAGAAGATGTTGTAACTTTTTTGGTTTTCAAACGACGGTCGTCGCCCACTGCAGCATCTGCGAACGCAATAACGCATCCACGTAGGCGCACATTATCGGATCTTATACAAATATCGACAAGTGACAATTTCAATAATAGTTACATACGAGTATAATATTAGGTATAACTGTATACGCGTGCATTCGTCCATCGCTTATATTGCTGAATGTTTATATGGAATATATGTTTACCGGCCTTTGGCTTATTTACATATTCGCTCGCTTATGGCCATATACACAATGTAATGCCACGTATTATTCGTATGTATGKGTGCGTAATGTGTAGTATGTAGATCTGTTTTCGCGGCGAAGTCGACCTATATACTAAACTCTCAGCGAGGTATTTTATAATATTTGTTGGTAAAACGGCAAAAGTTGTCCAAACATTTGAATTCGAAATGCGAAACGCATACCTATCACAATGATATCAACCATGTATACTCAAGTCTAACACGTAAACAGTTTAATCGATTTTTCCGTGCGCGGAATATCTGCAGCAGCAGTATATTATGATTTTATATGAATACAGATGACGGACAGCCACGGTATGTTTCCCAATTGTGTTTTATCCAACTTTTATTAGTTCAGGCACGGATCCAGAGTAAAAATCTGGGGGAGCCCTGCAATTTTTTTATAGGTACTTTATTTATAATTTAAAAATGTTGTCATAATAATAGGTAGATATAGGACATRGGTAATCAATGTAATAAATWAATTAATGATTATTTAATTTATAAATGTTGTACGTTAAATAATAAAATCTAAACGTTTTTTTACGTTGTCGCTTTTCCCAAATCTATCAATTATTTGGTCAATGTTTACTTTAACTTCCCTATGAACACATCATAGTAAACACAAAAAAGTAAGATAATAAGCAATAAGTAACTATTCTGAAATGATATGTACAAAATACAAATCAAAGTGTGTAATATACTAATATGTATCACGAATWAAAATATTTTAATTCGTGGTGTGTATAATATATATTATATATTATATCCACCTTTTTAATATATTATATATTTGTTATATTCTTATATTATATGTGATTTGAAATATAGTGATATCACGACGTGTAGAATTATAAAAATAATTTGAGAAATAATATGTTTGAGGGAGAACCTGGGCCCCTAGACCTCCCCCCCTCACCACTGGATCCGTCCCTGTCTTAGTTCAGTAGTATTAGATATTGAGTGTATTTAAATCGTCTATAAATAATAAATCATATTATACATAAAATAAAAAAAAAATTACACAGTAAGTACCTACATGTGATCATTTGTACTCGAAAATGTACGAGGAAAAATATGTGATTACGTTTTAAACGAAAGACTTTTGCTATTACAAATCTTGACTATAAATTGATGCTTATTGTCACCTACATTAAAAATGTATAATRATTTAAAATTTACTAGATATAAATAAATTATTATGATAGGTATTGGATGATTCAAATTCTAATTGAAGTCTAAAATTATAAAAAAATCAAAAATAGAAAATTCACCTGAAATCGCACAACTTTCTCAACGTCTTTGTYAATAATATTTGATTAATTTACCCAGGAAAAAAACCCTTATTACGTATATGTATCTATACTCAGGAAATGTGTAGTGAGTAAAGAATGAATTGAATCTCATTATTTTCGTACGATTTGTCACTTATACTGCCGATTATTTTGTTTTACATGATAAACGCAAACGCCCAAATCAGAGAGACGAAAAATCTTCTATCTGTACACTTTAATTATTATCGATTATACTGCATAAATATTAAAATATTTAATCAGTTGACTGTTCATTATTAAATTTTTACCTACGCATTTAATTTAAATTATGTAGCACATACGTAGGCACTATAATATGTGCAAAACTGTTGGAAGTCATTGGAAAGGATGACAGCGTGATATAAATCAATAGGTTTCGTAACGGTAWATATAAAATATCTGATCGAAAAAATTATATAAACAATAWACTTAATAGGATATTAATTTAATTTAAAAAATTGACTTGCATTTATAAGGTAGGTAYACGGTACACACATAAATCCAAGGTTGAGCAACCACGCATGTACATTGATGTGCTGTTTTCGATTTACCGATTCGCTGGTTTCGGAATGTTTACTCTTTAAAATCAAGTTTCGTATACTTTATTTTTATGTTTTTATTGTCGATTCGTTCAAACTATTTTCCAGCTAAAAGGTTATGAGTTTTCTAATATTATAACTTTATAGTTGTGGACCCTTTGTCTCATTACTTTGCAGTAGATTGGTAAATCTAGTAGTAAAATGTTTTCTTATTCTATAAAATTAACCGTAGATGCTATAACAAAATTGAGTAGGTAGGTAGTCAGTACCTAGTCAGTATTATATGTATACCTCTCTATATTTATATTATATTCCACTTTTCGGTACTGAAAATGTTCTTGGCTAAAAAACTATTTTAGTTAAGTACTATTTACTTAATTTATTGTTTCATATATACAGAACATATCATATGCACGTATTTAATATTATATTAATATATAATAAATTAATATATTAAATATATTAATTGTCACTACCTTCGCCAGATGTGTATTTTAAATAACGATAATTGTATATAGACATATAGTATATTGTTAGCTTTATAATTATAAAAATTAAATTAGAATTGTAGATCCGAGTTCCAAAAACCCTTTGAGAGCCAGTTTTTTTTTTTTGACCCAAGTTTAGTGACTCCGTACTTTGTATTAACATAATAGTTCAAAAGAGATAAAAATTTACATTTTTGTGTATATAATACTAATTTTATAACATAAGTTTTTGATGTTCAAAATATTAAACTCTTTAAGCAGTTTTACAGTTGAATACCTATCTAAGATCTTTTTTTAATTACGATCTCGAAATGATGAGTATTTTGACAAGTTTATAGTCAAGTAAATATCATTGGACTAACCCCAACCTATTAAACTGTAYGAAATTTGAGGTTCAACAAGTTCTAAGTAAAGTATTCTAATACCTTTAAAACGTAGAATTTCACATATATTTTCATGTAAATTTCTTACTGTTTAAATTATGTTTTTGAGCTTATAGGTACTGC